GGGTCGGGGTGTAGGTTTGGGGGTGGGGGGGTGGTTCACTGCAGCTGCTGCCTCCTAAACTTCAGGCAGCTGCCCTTCAAACAGAGATTCAGCCCCCGCAACATGAAAACATCCTTTCTGTTTCTGTGTTTGGGAGGCCAGCGCCAGCGTCAGTCAGGCTGCCGTTGGATCTGTCAGTGGATATTATTCTTCCTATGTTCTCTGCTGCTGTCCGGTCATGTGGCAGAGAGAAAAAGAGAAACAACAGATTAATCCAGTCCTGGCTCGGCGCTCTGAGCTCGCCTCATTAAAACACACATAAAACCGTTTGGCAACACACCTGACATGACGTGGACACCGACGGCTGCCAGTGAGAAACACTATCAGGTCAACGGGAGTCACAGTCACTGAGCTTCACACACCTTCATCTGTCTACATGTGTGTCGTATGTTGTGTGACGAGTCTCCAAACGTGTCCCAGTGACTCGGAGACAGACGCTCTGCTGTCGAGTCATGTGTCAGTTATTTTGTGTGTGACGACACAAATAAAAATAATAAAAGAAGGAAAAACGCTTTATTTTAAAAATCTAACCTGATGAAAACCTGCAGGAAACTGAAACAGTAAGACGTCTGCTCTCAATATGATGTTTTTATATAATACACACACATGATGATGAAATAATCACCAACACCATGACTGAGTGTTTCCACCTTGAACTGCAGTGAACCCATGACGGTCGGATAAAAACAGATTCAGGGTTTCATACGTCACAAACCTCAGGAACCAATCCTGTCAACTTGTGGGGACGGGGGGGGGTGGAGCTAAATCAACCTGAAACCTTCTCAGTAAAAAGAGAGAGAGTTAGCATTAGCACTACTGCTAACACTGTGTCAGCCACTGACAGTTACAAGCTAACAAACAACATAAACAAATAAAAAGATGTTAACTGTGCTAACTATTCTCAAAATATGCTAACTACACTAACCGCCCTCGTAAATGCTACATACGGCAACAGTTCTGAAATATGCTAATTATGCTAACCATTCTGAAAAGATGCTAACTACACTAACGGTTCTGACCCGTCTGCTAGTCTCTGGTTCTGGTCTCAGACTCCTCCTCTGAGTCTGGGTCTGACTGAGGCTCAAACATGAGGCTGAGTCTCTCTGATGTTTCCTCCTCTCACCATCTTCATACTCTCTGCTCTGTCACCTGTCCACCTGGAGCAGGCAGGTGGTGGGCGGGGCTCAAGGCCTGATCCAGGTTTCTCAACCAGGAAGTGAGAGGAGATGAACTTCAGACCCGGTTTCTATGTGTGAAAACATGTGAAACTAAATATGAATCACAGCGGAAGATTTCTACAGAATTTAAAACATATTTGGAGGAACTTTAAAATCTCACTATTCACTATATATTTTTACTTTAAATGAGAAGAATTATAAATATAGGACATGAAAGAAAAAAAAAAATCGGTGCAGAAGTTGTCGCCATCAGCAACTGAATGAAGTTTCTGAATCAGCACAAAGAGGATGGTCTTTACAGGAGGGAGGTGCTTTCACAGATACAGTGTTGACATCAGGTGTTCTGCTCTCAGAGCAGCTGATGATGATGATGATGATGATGATGATGATGATGATGATCTCATCACGTCACCTGCCGCTGGCCTCAGCACTGAGCTGTAGCTGCACACATCAGAGCCAGCAGGCCTGGTTCTGTGTTCAGCTGTGACACGAGCTGCTTCACAGGCTGACATCAGCCCGGAGGACGACTCACAGAGAGGTCGGCTCAGTCCCCCCCCCCCGCCTGTCTACGCTCCAGAGGGGGGTCAGAGGTCACGGTCAGAGACCCTGCAGCAGGTTCACATCAGTTACTTTTCAGCCTGACGAACTAGAAACCGGGACGACGGCTTCAACCTTCGAGTTGACCAAGTTCCCGACCGAGTGACTGACAACCAAAGAGCTGATCAACAGGAAGTTAATCAGCTGCTGTTTTTATAATCAATTAATCATCTTTCAAGCAAAGGTTACCTCAGAGTCTGGGAACTTATGAAGGCATTTCTCACAATTTTCTAACATATTATCAAAGATGCAACTAATTAGAGCTGTTGATCAACACACAATTAATCAGAGACTTTTGTGATTATTGATTAACTAAGTAATCCACAGTCATGAGGTAGCACTGATGACTCTTTTCTACAGAAAGCAGCAAAGATCTGTCCAAGAAAAAGTCTCTAAACTGGTCTGAGAAGTCGTTGATCTAGTGACAGAGACGTTAAGTTGCTGCCTGTGAACGCCTCCTAACAGAAACTGTTCACGCCAATTCATTTTGAAAGAGCAACAGCCAATGAGGAAACTTTATCACTCAGTCCGTCAAGCGACAGACATTCGAGTTTATAATGATATTGTGAGATGTGGAACCTAATGACGCAACATTATTAATTTAGGCCGTTTAGTTTTCATCCAGTTTGACTGATTGTGTCTCTTCATTAAAGGCAGATTAACAACTTCAATCATTTTACACTCCCACATATCAGTGTCGGTATCTGCCTCTACGATCCTCCATTGTTTGAGCTTTAATGGTAATATGAGTGTTATAAACAGGCACAGCTGTGTGTAACGGTTACACACAGTGGAAGCTGAAATTACAGTCAAGTCTTTAGCAGCTTTTTTTTCTGTTGAAAGGTGAAACAGGAACCGATAACAAACAGCTGATAAAAAGTGTGTTTACATCTATTTACTGTAACTGTCAGAGTGAATCAAACATATATATATATATCTCTGTAGTGTGGGAAGTCGTCGTCGACTCGGGTTAAGTATATATATATATATATATATTTAAATGTATACATAGCTTTAAAATCTCCCCTGGCGTCTGATTAAGCTTTAACTCACGGCAGGTTTGTTATGCTGATTATGATATTGTGATACCTGCTTTGTGTTCAAGGTGTGGATATCAGCGCTGAGGTTTCCCGCGCTAATCCTGTGCACCTGAACGTGCAGATTTTCATCCCATCAAACATTAAACAGCGGCTGATTTCACTGATTGGTTCCCGCTCTGACTGAAGATGATCATCAGTGAAATCCTCGATGCTGTCGGATTATATCGCACACTGATGAGGCGAATGGATAAAAAAACGATGTAGAGAAGTGTTAAAACTCTAATGATTATTTAAATCAACGTTGTGGAATCATAAGAGTTATTTTTTTAGGTTTTCTGTCACTGTGAACTGAATATTTGTGGGTTTTCTGACTGTTGCAGCAACTATTTTGAGGATTGATTAATAGTTTTAGTCATTTATCGAACAAACGCTGGTTAAAGATTTTCAGAAAAGAAGATCTGATGCTTTTCTTCGTCACATCTGATCGTAAACTGAACATTTTTGGATTGTGAACTGCTGGTAAAATAAAACAAGCGACTTGAACGCATCACCTTTGGCTTTGGGAAATTACTGGAAAAGTGATTCATCAATTAATTTTTGAACCAACTCTTCTCTGGTTTCTGAAACGTCCAAAAAATAATAAATAAAATCACCTTCATGTCGTCAGTCTTGTCTTCACTCTCTATGTATCACTTGAATTTAATGGTTTTACTTTTGAGGACGCCTCTGGCTCTGCATGTTAAACACCAAGCAGTGTTTGTTGCTGCAACTAAGGATTATTTTAATTATCGATTTATCTTATATTTTTGATTAACTGATTAACAGTTTAAACGATAAAACATCAGTAAACAATGAAAGATGTGCATCACAGTTTGGAAAGATACAAGAATATTCTATTTACTATCATGCAAGACCAAGAAAAGCAGAAATCTCTCTCGTCTGAGAACATGAACCGTCACATTTGTGATATATTTGGTTTCAAAAATGATTCGACTATGTTGCAACTCTCTGTGTCATCTTTGCAGAAATCATCCTGTTCAGAAAACCTCAGGGTTTTTGAACGCCTCATAAATGTTGCTGACTGAATGCAAAAACTTACTGGAAGGAGAAATAAAAATATTTCACTTGATATTAAATTTTGAGCATGAATTATGCAGCTTTTGTCAGTTACAGACACACGACCTGCAGAAGAAAGCTCTTCTCTTTAGTCTTTAACTAGCTCTGAAATTTGCTTTCTATGTAATCTTTTTTATTCTATTTTAATTATCTATTACTTCATTTATTATTTTATCATTATTCCATCTCATTTTACATTCATGTTTTTAAATGTTTTTCATTTTACATCAATGTTTTATGTTCATTTTATGTCTTTTCATGCGAAGCACTTGTCATTACTTAGTTGTAAAGCTGCATTTCTTGTATAAAACGTGCTATACAAATTAAGTTTATCATTACTACTATCATTAATCACGACAGCTCCGAGGCTGTGCACGCTTCAGATCAGGTGTGTCGAGGTTAGAAACCTCTCTGAGGACACGGCGTGAGCAGGACTGAGCACCTGGATGAGACGAGCTGCGACAGGATGTCTGCTGCGCTCTGCATCACTTCTGATCTGCTGCTCACGTCTGTGCTGGGATGTTCCACTCATCAATAGTGCTGATCAACACAGACAGAGCCTGCAGCCAGGAGGGGGGAGGGGTGTGTGTGTGTGTGTGTGTACTTGTTAATGCTACATAGTGAGGACCAGAAAAAGTATTTTCCTAACAGAGTGAGGACGTTCTGGGCCGGTCCTCACTTTGTGAAACGCCCTCCAACGGCATTTCAGGGTCAGGACTCGGTTGGAGGGTCGGGGTTAGAGTTAGGCTTTCAGTTGTGATGGTTAGATAGAAGTGTGTGTGTGTGTGTGTGTGTGTGTGTGTGTGTGTGTGTGGATGCAGTGATGGCTGCAGGCTTTCACTCTACAACAAACCAACCAGCAGTTGATTGCACTGCAGCATCCTCAGAGAAACCAGCTGCTCAAGTGCGACAACGACGATAACGATGATGATGCTGATGCTGATGCTGGTGATGAAGAAGAACACACACACACACACACCTTTCTTGAACTCCTCCAGCATGGCGTCCAGCTTGGTGTCGTGGAAGACGAAGTGGACCGGGTGGTTGTAGAACTTGGTGATGGTCTTCAGGGTGGTGCAGTCGTCCGGGTCGACGAAGGCCAGGTCCTTGACGTACAGGATGTCCACGATGTTGGACCTCTCGTCGTCGTACACAGGTATACGAGTGTATCCGCTCTCCATGATCTCCGACATGGTGTTGAAGTCCAGCACGGCGTCCGCCTGGATCATGAAGCAGTTCCCCAGAGGCGTCATCACGTCCTCCACGGTTTTAGTCCTGAGCTCCAGCGCGCCCTGGATCATGTTGAGCTCCTCTTTGACCAGGTCGTTGTAGGGCTCCGTCACCTTCAGCATCTCCACCAGCTTCTCCCGGTTGTACACGGTGCCGATCTCCTGGCCCAGCAGCACGTCCAGCAGCTTGCTGACGGGGAACGACAGCGGGAAGGTGAGGAACATGAAGAACTTGGTCACCTGGATGGTGTTGGCGCCCACAGCCAGCCCGTGGCGGGAGCACAGCGCCTGGGGAACGATCTCACCGAAGATGACGATGCCAATGGTGGAGGCGACCACGGCGCCCAAGCCTGATCCGATCAGGTCGTCCAGGAGGATGGTGAGGGTGGTGTTCACCAGGACGTTGCCCAGGAGCAGCGAGCAGAGGAGGTAGTTCCCTTTGCTGCGGATGGGTTCGATCTTCCGGGCGTACTTCTTCTCCTTGTCGGTGCCGCAGCTCTGGACGATGCGCAGCTCCATGGGGTCGAGCGCCATCAGCCCCAGGTTCAGACCGCTGAACATCCCGGAGAGCACGAGCAGGCAGCAGATGAGGATGACCTGCAGCCACATGGGCAGCAGGGACTTCTTCTCCTCCACCACCAGCACCCTGCCGTCACTGTCCCCCAGCAGCACCCACCTGCCGCCGTCCGCGCTCCGCGTGCACAGGGCATACTCCTTCTGCGGCTCGCTCTTGCGCAGCGGCTTGATGTGCACGGTGAGCACCCCCGACGTGCCTCGGCTGCTGACGTTCATGAAGGTCCCGACGTTGATGTCCTTCGTGAAATCAGCACAAGTCCTGTCCGGCGCGTCCATCATGCCGCTGCCGCCCCGCGCCGCCGCCACTGCAACCGCCACCGCCTCCCCCTCCTCACCGTCCTCTTCGTCCCCGCCGCCGCCGTCCGTGAGCTCCGTGAAGCGGATCTGCGTCCAGGCGCCCGAGTGGAGCTGCACCCCGTAAAACCGGAGCTGCACGGAGCTCTCCTCGGTCACCTGGATGACACCGTCGTCATTGGTGCTGGAGGGCTTGTCGCTCCTCTCCAGCCGCATGCCGAGCACCTGGCTCCCGCCGCTGCCCCTGCCGCCGGACCCCGCCGCCGCCGCCGCTGCCGCCGCCGCCGTCTCCGTCCGGCCGCCGACCGCGCTCCACAGGCAGATAACGACAGTGAGAATGTAACCCTGCTGCCCGCTCCATTCTGTCGCCATGTTTGTTTCACTGCTCGGCGACCTAGGAGCTGACGTCATTTACTCATGTCCGAGCGGCTCCACCCCCCGCCTCCCTCCCCCATGACACACCCCTCCCCCCCCCCCACCCTTCATCACCGCCTACCGGACAGGGACAGGTACAGCTAATAAACAAACAACCCCCCCTTCCCCTCAAACACACAGTCACAAACTCACAGTCCGTTATTGCTTTATTTGTGATGATGCACTGCAGCAGGAAGCCCACACTCTCATGTGCACCCAAACAGCCCCAATATATGCATTTACCCTGCGCCACCCTCCACTCACCCCCACTCACTCCCACTCACCCCCACTCCTCCCCCCCCGTGTAGCCTTGTTATTCTCTCTGCTCTGGGCAATGCGGCACACAGCGGAGGGATGCTGCCGCTGCCGCTGCCGCAGCCGCCGCCGCTGCTGCTGCTGCGGCCAGCGGTTTCTCATCCAATTGTATCTGGAGTCAGCTGCTGTTATGTAAACGCACATGGCATCCGTGCACACCCCCCCTCCCTCCCCAGTACCCCGCCACTCCGCTCCCGCTCCCCTCCCCGCCTCCCCGCCCACATCCTGCAGCATCCCTCTGGCACAGAGCCCGGTCCTGGATGCAGAGACATTTTCTCCAGAGACAGACTCTCTGCAGCTGCTGGGATCTGGTCTGTCTCTGCAATAATAATACTAATAATAATGATAATAATAATAATAATAATAATAATAATAATAATAATAATAATAATAATAGTAACAATAATAATAATACAATTTACTGCCTGTATATGTATAAAATGCATTTACTTTTAATTAATGTCAAATAGGAAAGATTTCTTATCTTTTTTAGTCTGACCATCACCTCATTGTATTAAAATATTTTATTTTTTTCTGATAATATGTCCTGTGAACTGGATTTTAATTAATCATCTTTATTTATTATTAGGTCCTAATATTCAGTGGCTAACAGTTATGTAATACAGCCCATAGTATTTCCCTCTGTCCTGGCCTACAGTGCCACCTACTGGTCAAACCAGGTGAAGTGATTCTGATTTAAAATTTGAAAATCTGATTTAAAAAAAGAAATGACTGCAGTTTTCTCAGAAATGCAGAGGTGCTTGCACTTGAACATTTTCAAATTTTTAGTTTTCTGTTTTTATCAGTGTCTTTATTTTCAGTTACATATTTTATCCTCTGCTGTCGTTCTATTGTCTATTATCATTCTCCTTCAATCTGACCTTATTTTATCTCATTGTACTGTTAGATTTTTTTATTGTAAAGCACTTTGAGCAACATCTCTTGTATGAAACCTCTTTATTAATAAAGTTTATTATTATTAGCTACAATAAACTTGTCCATATGTTATATTTAACATCTAACGTCACCGTGTTTCAGGAGAGAAGAAGAAGAAGTTAAAGCAGCTTCACCTGCAGCTACAAACATAAATAGCTGCTGACTCAGAATTAATAATCTGATAATGTCAGAAAATATATTTATTCCATTAATTGATTGACTGAAAATTAATCAACAAAATTTTAGATGATACAATCAATATTTAATTCACCTATTTTCTGTTTTCTTTCAGTCTTCTGGTTGAATATATTTGGGTGTTGGACTGTTTGTCAGCAATTTAAATATGTCTTTTTGTATTAATTTGACATTTTATGACATTATATGGACCAAAGAAAATAGCTTGCAGCTTTAATATCATGTAATACAGATCACAGGTGGATCTGCTTGCACACATTATAATATTTGAGGGAGAGTTTATAAGACATTATTTTTTATCATGTGTTGATATTGTTGTGAGTGTGATGCAATAAAACAGTAATTGTTGAGTGAATATGTTTACACAATTTCTGCCTTTATTACAAGTGACATTAAAACTAAAAACTAAATGAAAAGTTTCTATAAATTAAAAAGTAATTAAAAAGTCAGTGGTTAGAAACAGAAGCAGGTAGAAGATTATTATCAACATCCTCTTATTATCAGACTGTACAATGATCAGACCGTCGGATACACAACTCCAATGACCTCAGAAAGTAACTTTGCTCCTTTTGTTGCCTAAGTGTGTGTGTGTGTGTGTGTGTGTGTGTGTGTGTGTGTGTGTGTGTGTGTGTGTGTGTGTGTGTGTGTGTCCTTCTCAGTGGTTTAGCTGCTATAAAACACACCAGTCACGCTGAAGTGTTTCTGGGCTGAAATGCCGGTCCAACTCTAAGTAAGTCGGGTTGTAAATGTCGGCCATCTTTACCAGGTAGTAACCAGGTCGCTACACCGATTACCCATGCAGCTTAGTTTCTCTGAGTAATCTGATTACTTAAGTGGATGGAAATGCACTGAGAGTCCATCAGTGATGCTGGGGGCGGGACATTGCTTTTTAATCACTTATCAATAATTACAAACTAATACATACACAATGCACAGGGAGGGAGAAATGAGGGGTTAGTAGTTCACTGCTCATTTTATTCCAGCCTTGATGCGTTGATATGACCGTCAGTGATAACAGGTAACAGGAGTCAGGGGTCAGGGGTCAGGGGTCAGTGTTTCCATGTGAGGTCTTCATCACTGCAGCCTCACGTCTCCTCGGCTGCGTTGACTCTGCGTCTGTCCGTCTGCAGGAGGGAGGACCTCGACCTTGTAGCTCACCCTCTTGGACTGGAGGATGCTGTAGCTGTTGTCGAAACACAGCACGTCTGCACGACATGGACGACACAGAGAACAGGAAGTTACAACCTGCAGGATCAATACGCGTCTTCACCCTCTGGTCTGTCTTTGTCTGTGTATGAAGCATGAAGCAGGAAGTGATGCAACATGTGCGTCTGGTTACTCACACACTCCGGGCTCGGGGCAGGTGAGGCAGCTGTCCTCAGGGACCAGGTGAGCGTTGTAGCGTTGGCTCGGCAGAACCTGCAGCATGTCGGCCACTTCCTGACCGCCGCCTTCTTTGGTCCGTCGGTACACGCCGAACCCGATGTCAGCTCCATCGCTGGCAAACTGCCACCTGGGTAAAGAGCAGGGGTCAGAGGTTATTAGACCAGATTATCACAGTTTGCTCCTGTGTGTTTTAAATCTTAATGTCCATGAGAACAGAAACACTTTACACTGACTTTCTCACTTTTTTATTAAGGTCTAGCTTCTATATTAATTATAATTATATAATTATACTGTATCACTATATTAATACTGTGAAAGTATCAAAGCCTCAGTCCACAGAGAAATGCACACAGCCTGTATTCAGAAACTGAGCCTTAAAACCAGCCGTCAGGACTTCTGGAACTTTGTGATGTCACAACAAAGCAGTCACCAAGCCCCGCCCACCTGGACCCACCATCCAAACCTTTACAGGATTTGGTTTCTCTGAGTGTTTTTACCTGAAATCTGCTATATTTTTTATTGGATCACTCAGAAAACAGTCAGCCAATCAGAAGAGAGGCTCAGAGCCTCCTCTCTTCTGATTGGCTCACCGACCTGTTGTTACTAGAGCTCCAGAGAGAAGCCTGAGAGAGGAGATGTGAAACTACACTGAGATGGTTTTAATATCTTCTTACGGATCAACACTTCAAAAATAAAACACAGGAAGTGGAAAATATGTGACCTTTAACTCAGACCACGTGTCGTCATGTACCTCAGGAGGCTGCCTGCTGCAGTGACATCACTGTCCAGCTGGAAGACGGAGCCGCGGCTGATGGTCACGCTGTTGTCGTACTGAACCTTCACCGAGTCCTGAACATAGTACGACCTTGGCACCGTGCCGCCGTACTTGATCTGCAAGCACGACGAAGCACAAAACACCCTTCATTTTAACCACCACCATCATCATCATCATCATCATCATCATCATCATCATCAGCTGTGAGAGAGACAGTCAGGGTCTTTGCTCTGACCATGGTTCTGCAGCGAGGGTCTCCGTCAGGATCAGTCAGGGTTCCTCCGTACACCACAGGAAGCTGCTCTGGGTCGATGTGTGTGCGTAACACTTGCTGCCAGTTACCTGCCAACAGAGAGGACGATTCAGGTGAACAGTCAGCAGGTGGTTTCAGTCCCGAGACACTGAGTCAGTCTGTCGTTGTTCGGTTCCCAGAGGATGAATCCTATCGATTCCTCTGACTGTTTCCTGCTTCCTTTCCTTCTTGTTTTCTCACCTCCTCCTCTCCTTTCCTTTCCTCTCCTCTCCTCTCCTCTTATATTGACTTGTCTCCTCAGCTCCTGTATTTCCTCCCCTCCTCTTGTTTCCTCTCCTTGTTTCTACTCCTCTTGCCCCCTTCCTCACTTCCTTCCCTCCTCTGTCAACTCACTTTCTTCCCTCCTCTGTCATATCTGTCCTCCTTTCTCCTCTTCTCAACTTGATTCCTCATCTCGTTTCCTTTCTTCTCCTCTTGTTTCTCCCTCTCCTCTCCTCTTGTTTCCTTCCTAGTTTCCTCTCCTCTCGTTTCCTCTCGTTTCCTCTTGTTTCCTTTCGTTTCCTTTTGTTTCCTCTCGTTTCCTTTCCTCTCGTCCCATTTACTTTACAATAAGTAAATGTTAGCACTACATTAGCCTTTAGCTCATAGCCTCACAGACCTACTGGCACGGCTGCAGACTCTTTAAAAAGAGAAGTTGTCTCACTTCCTAAGACGATGATCTTGCGCCGTGTCTCCTCACACAGGAAGTGTTTGATCAGGTTGTAGGCCATAGGAAACATCCTGGGAGCTGCAGCCAACAGGAAACGATTAAAGGAAGGAGAAACACAAACATCTACAGACACAGAGCCGCAGATCCACTCAGGTACCTTTGATCAGAAACACCCTCTTCAGCCCCTCTGGATAGTTCTCCTCAAACATGGTGAGGATCTGCAGACAGGAAACGAGGGATGACGAACGAATGAATGAGAGGAAACGTGAAGCTCCGGAGTGAGGAGGAGACTCACCTCTCCGTACGCCTCAATGGCCGGTTTCCAGATGTGTTTGAGTCCCAGTCCTTCACAGTCATAGATCAGAGTGATGGCTTCAATGTTCTTCCCCAGCTGAGAGAGAGAGAGAGGGACAAGGTGAGGAGGAGAGGAGAGGAGAGGAGAGGAGACAAAAGGAAACAAGAGGAAACGAGAGGAGAGGAGAGGAAACGAGAAGAAACACAGCGAGATGAAAAGAGGGGAAAGGACAAGTGGAGAGGAACCAAGAGACCAAGAGAGGCAACAAGAGAGGAGACAAGAGGAGATGAGGAGAGGAGATGAGGAGAGAGGAGGAGAAGAAAAGAAGAAAGGAGGAAGCAAATGAAAGCAGAGAAGGAAACTAGGAAGGAAACAAGAGGAAAGGAGAGGAGGAAACAAGAAGGAGATGAGGAGACAGTCCTGACCTTCTCGGTCTGCCTCTGACACTCCTGCCGCAGCATCTCTGTGTGTCTGATCTTGGTCTTCAGGAAGTCCTGCTTGGTTGCCGACAGCAACAGACCTTTGGGATCCAGGGGACCAATCACATCGTACCAGATGGGACTTCCCTCCCTGTCGTAGCCGCACATCCCTCCAGACACGTACTTCTCGATCACCTGAGGGAAGGTGAGATCAGGACCCGACATCAAACTGCAGACAGTCTGTATAACTGCTTCTTTAACCCTTTGGAACCAGATTTCAAAATATGAGCCTGGACCAAGCAGTACAGCTGTCCTTTCACAGTAAAAGCCCCCTTTCATCAATCTACATGAAGTGAAATAAAATTAATTTTTTAATTTTTTATGGATTCTTTTTAACGAATAAAACATTTTACATATAAACATTATGATTAATTAGATATAAAAATGAACTAAGACTCGTTTTGTTTAAAACATTGAACAGACAGAAAATAAATAACGTCTTAGTTCCATGAAGAAGAAAAATTTACGTTAACGTTGTGTCACAATACAACTCTGTTATTATGATTTCATTATAAACTATGGTTTTTCTTTTGACACGTGATTTTCTTTTCCCCATTCTACACTTTTCTTTGATTTATTTTTAGTTTATTTATATATTTTTGTTTGTTGTTTTGTTTTTCCTATTTTATTTGTGTTTCGTCTCATTCTGCAGCTGCAAAACAGTTTAAATGAATCAAAAGAAACGAATTAGAAAGTTCAAAAGAAAAAGTCCAAAACACATTTCTGCAGATATCGGTGGAGCGTGATTTTAAAAGATTATTACAGTTATTATTGATTTACATCTTCCTGCCTGTCAGCCCTCTAAAATAAACATATACACCAAACTGAGTGTGTTCACCTCAGGAGGTCCTCCAGTCAGATATGATGGTGTCCACTCACATCTGTCTCCTGCACTCCACACGCTGCAGAGAGAGAGAGAGAGAGAGAGAGAGAGAGAGAGAGAGAGAGAGGGAGAGAGAGGGAGAGAGAGGGAGGTTAATACAGTTTACACACTGGTGAACGCAGGTGAACAGATGGCCGACATATTAAAGGAAAAACCAACATAAAGTCAAGAACATAACTCCCTCGCTCACTGTGCTCAACAGATGCAACGATTAGTCAATTAATCAATTAGTTGACTGACAGAAAAACGAACCTTCAGCTGCAGCAGCTTCAGACAGTTTTCAGACCCCTGTATGTTTTCCACATTTCATTGACATCAACAGTCTGTGCATCAGTCGACGCTCCATGATCAATAATGACAAAGTGAAAACATGTTTTTAGAGTTTGTTTGCAAATGTATTAAAAATCTTTCTGAAGTCGATTTATTTTGATAAAAGATTCATCGTTTTCCTGGTTCCATCTTATTAAATGTGAGAATTTGATGTTTTTCTTTTGTCATAAACGACAGTAAACTGAAGATCTGTGGGTCGGACACAAGGAGACGTTTGAAGATGTCGACGATGGAGATTTAAAATGAGAAAAATGTTTTAATAAATATGAAAATAATCATTCTTTGAACCCCGGCAGTGACCTCTTGTGCCCTCTGTGACTGATGTATTATTATATCTGGTATTATCAGATCATTGATCCTGAGTCATCGATGCTTCAGCAGCATTTTACTGTCGTAGCTGCTACGTCACATACGCTTACATAATTTAGTCCTGTGGGTCCCAACCTAGGGGTCGGGCCCCTTATCTGGGTCACCAGATAAATCTGAGGGGTCCAATCTTGACTTCTTTGTGGGAGCGTTGGATAATTTCACCTCTCTGAACATGAGCCAGACTCAGATTTGATGTAAATGGTCACAAGTGAAAAAGGTTGAAAAACACGAGTTTAACCTTTAACAACATGATTTTTGTGTAAAATAAAATCTTTATCTTCAAAGTAATGAGTAACTTTGGTTCTCAAAGAAATGCAGTGGAGTTAAATTACAACATTTCCCTTTAAAATGTGCAGCAGGGAAAGAAGAAGTGGCTTAAAATGTAAAGATTCAGGACACGAGGAAGATCAGTGAACGTCACGTCAGAGCTCACCTTCCTGATCATGGCCTCGGCTTTCTGAACATTGAAGCTACGAGCTGGAAAAAGAAAAAATAATTGATTAATATCAACGACCTGATAATTAATATACAGGTAACATGACTCAGACCAACGTTCGCTCATGTCAGATGTTTACGAGGCGACAGAACATAAAGATAATTTCCTCTGCTAATTATTAATTATAGGAACAATAGAAGTTCTGACACAGTTCAATACATTCAGCCTGTTTTCAGACGAGTCAAACTGTCTGAGGGCAACGATCAATGCTAATATTGATCCACAGAGTCCCCAATGGTTTGGAGCCTCCCTGAACTATGACCCACTGAAGAGTCAACACACACACACACACACACACACACACACACACACACGGTCCTGCTGGATCAATCACATGTGGAGCATGTAAGTTTTATAATTATGGTCTTTAAGCAGCAACAGTCCTCCTTTCAAACCCTTCAAAATAAGACGACACATTACATGTTTGATTAGAATAATAACATTAATAATTAAAATCGTTAAACACAGCTGATGTGTGTATAAATGCAAAACTAAAGACTCAAATTCATAGAAACGTAGCAACTAATGACTGTTTTAATCATCGATTCATCTGCTGGTTTTTTCCTTCATTAATTGATTTAATGTCAAAAACATTCAAAAAATATTTTTAATTTACTAAAGAAGAAAGAAAGAAAAGAAACAAATCAGAGATCATTGGATGCTTGAAAAATGGCAATCTCTTGATTATCAAAGTATAGGCTAATTCATTTTCTATCACTCAACTAATCGATTATCGTCAACCTGTTGCAGCTCTAATCACAGACACGGTTCTTTTGGATCTAAATCTATTGGTGTGGAGGGAGGACACTGTTTAAAAACAGATATAAACTTTATATTTATTAAACTAAAGGTCATGAAAAGTTTAGGTATTTATATTTTAGTAAAAATGTACCATTTGTACAATCAATAATAAATAAATCTGCACCTCACAACAGCAGTCTGCCACTATGCACATGAGTTATATTCATTTTTAGTGTTTTATCCTGTCATGTTTTAACTTTAGTTTTATTTTATTTCATCTTGTATCTTTTGTCTTTTCATGTCGATGTCAAATGTTGGATTGAATCTGTGTTTTGTTTTGTTTGTGTCGTTGTTTGTGACAGAAAAGGATTAAAATCTAAATGAAATGAGAACTTCTGCACTGATTGGATATTTGACAGAACATCTGTAAAGGAAACAAGAGGAAGGAGAGGAGGAACTCATCATCTACATAATGTATTTTATGTCACGTCTGTATTTTTTAAATGTTGGTGAAAAGTAAAGAAATTTAAATCTGTGCAGCTTCACTCCAGTCTAATTCTGTGCAGCATAAAACAAACATTTACTGACCACTGAGGGGAGGTGGTTCAAACCTGAGTAAACACAATATGTTTTCACGGCCGCGGGGTCAAAGGAAAATTATAGGAAAGAAATTACTGATTAACCAAGAGACGGCTGGAAAATTCGTCAATTATCTGATCAAACAGCCTTAAAGTGAGATTATGTAAAGCTGGATTCAGAAGCAGCAGAACACCAGGCAGCTGCTGCTGCTACGACCACCGGCTGCTGGTGGCTAATGTTTAAACGTCAGACTGATAATCTGTGTGACTGATGTCACCGAGTCAGTCGGTCGATTTTTGCTCCGGTTTCACTGTGTTTTAATGTTCGGGGTGGGGTGGGGGGGGGGGGGGGGTGGAACGTTTCTCCTGTGTCCTGGTCCTGGCTTCTAACGGGTTTCACAGTAAACTACAAAATCAAGTGTTACACCTGTCGGTCAGCAAATTTATGGGGGATCAGGGGAGCTGAATTAGCTTGTGTCACGGATGAAGGCTAATGTTAGCTAGTTTCTAACTTTAGCTGAAGTTACAGTTTGCTAATTGTTAGTAGTTTCTAACTTTAGCCTGAAGTTACAGTTTAGCTAATTAATGTTAGCTAGTTCTACTTAGCCTGAAGTTACAGTTTACAGTGATTAATGTTAGCTAGTTCAACTTTAGCCTGAAGTTACAGTTTAGCTAATTATGTTAGCTAGTTTTCTAACTTTAGCCTGAAGTTACAGTTTAGCTAATTAATGTTAGCTAGTTTCTAACTTTAGCCTGAAGTTACAGTTTAGCTAATTAATGTTAGCTAGTTTCTAACTTTGCCTGAAGTTACAGTTTAGCTAATTAATGTTAGCTAGTTTCTAACTTTAGCCTGAAGTTACAGTTTAGCTAATTAATTTAACTAGTTTCTAACTTTAGCCTGAAGTTACAGTTTAGCTAATTAATGTTAGCTCCTGATAGCACGCCCCTTTCATTTCCAGTATTGGCTTGGCGTTAAATAACTAATTTAAAACATATATTTGATCTAATTTTAGTAAATACTGGTGCTCAGTCATGAAGAGCGAGACAATGGAGGATGAGTTGTTGCAGAGTGTGTTTTTAATATAAATATAGAGTTTATATTTTCATTTTAATAGTCTTTTGTGTGTCTGCGGTGGTTTAGTCTTTTCACTTTTTTGGCTCGACCACAACATACATTCAACACTACAACACTTCTGTGTGTTTCAGCTGCTGCTGCCTTCACTCTCTGTCTAACAGACCATTAGCACCTTCTGAGTCACCTCCACTGGTTTTGTAAGAGACACACCTCGCTCTCTTTAATGATGCTAATTATCATCGGACATTTCAAGTATCACTTTAGTAAGAGCTGGACTGATCAGGTCTGTTGGAGTTTGCAAACTTTTATTATAATTAATTTAATATTTATATCACTAATGTGTGTGTTTATCTGTATATATACTGTATATATTTCTATGTGAATTATTAGCATTTTACCTTTTTATTGTTCATTTGACTCAAAATTTTCTCAGTTCATTTCATTATTCATTATTCGATTTATTTTTTAACATCTAACATTCAATAAAAAGTTTAAAAAAATATTTATCCCCCTGTGGTCACTGCATTATAAAACACATAATAAGGACAATATAGTCAAATAATTAAGTTATTATTGTTTAAATTACACTAAAAAACACTTACATTGTCCTTATATCTGCTTATAACGACATTATAATGTTTATAATTATCATGTTGTGTTATA